CCAAAACGAATTGTTCGCTCGTTAGGGTGGATGTCCTCAGATGCGTTTCCTGTCTAGCTACGCACACTATTATAGAATCTATTCCTGACTGCGCGCGAGATTGTATGTGTTTATCTGACGTCGAATAAATCACGTCCCTGTGACTGAAAAGAAAAAGAGTAGGCGGGCAAGAAAGGAGGTAAGGATACAAACGCAATGCGACGCGTCGCTGCGCGACGACGCGACGCGGCATTTGGACGTTTCATGCCTTTTGCTCGCATTGCGGTATTTCCCTCTTCTTCTCCTTCTGCAGCAATGGCGCGAGGCGAACGAAACAGGAGCACCAAGAAGGGTAATTGAAAGCGGGTTATAAAATCGTCGAGTCATGCATTCCAGCCGCAAAGTCCTCTCATGCTCATTGGAGGACCTTGCAGAAGGTCGGCTAACAGAGCGCGCAGAAATTGACCCATTCGCATTTGTTCTTCGATGGATATATTCCTAACTAACCATAAGACAATGTCAACTTCCTTCTACAACCATATCGACCTTTAAAAGCAAGCACTTGAGTATTTTCAATATTCACTTCTTTCATATATCTTACGTTATATAGATATTTTATTACTAAACTAATGTTTTATTACTATATAAATAATTTTCCAAAAATAACGCGATATCCTAACTTTAGTTATTATCTCAGAATTTTTCTCTCTTTTCCTTTCCATTTCATAGGTTTCTATCTTTTATTTTTTTCTGTTTCTTCGCAATCAATGCTTCGAATCATTTCTATTCCCTTATCCTTGTGATATGAAGAAAATGACAGCTTTTTCATCGGCTACAGCTTCTCCAATCAATACAATTGATATAAGTGTAATGATACCCTATGAAAGTCTTTCAATAAATGTTTATCATGCAATTTAATAGCTTCATCATTATATGCTCATTAACTATTAGCAGTTGACTACTTCTTTTTATTTCCATAACTCGATTCGTTTTAATAAAAGTTTCTTAATTAAAAACTTAAATTAATTTGTAGATATTCATCTATGACATATACAATATTCAATTTTTATTTAAAAGGGCGTTTTCATTTTATTTTTATTCGTATTTAATATATATTATTAATAGTAATAATTTCACAAGAAAGCAGCACATTTGCAATAATAATTAATCGTATCGTAAATATTATATATATATATATATTTACTTATGAAATATATGCAGCTAATAATAAATTACAATATAAATAAATTATCACTACATTTTGTAAATTATAATATTTAGAAGTATTTATATCAATATTAATAAAACAAAAAATATATATGGTCGACAATGTCTATATCTTCCGGATACTGTATTAGCTATTGCGATCCGATACGTCTCTCACGATAAGTCTCGTGAACATCATTCTGTCTTTAGTATTTAATAACAAAAAAGATAATAAAATTCCAAGAGACTCCAAGAGCGTTGGAGCGTGAATCAGAGTGCAGTCTTAAAGATCATCAACCCTGCATACATTATCGTGTGTATAATATTATATCAGTAGACTCCGCCACATGTATTTCGTGAAGTCCGGATGTAATTGAAAAACACCTGTTTTATCGACTATAGATACCAATTTTTTGATTATCAACACAAATATCTGAATTATACAGAAAATTGTGCATTATTTACAGATAAAAATAAAAATGTAGATTTATTTTTTGTAAGTAATTATTTTTATACAGTTATCAATATTATCAATAAATAATAATAGAAGTATACTATTTTATCATCGATTTATATTTGACACAAAAAATTAATAAATATATACATATATATAATATATTTTATACATATAAGTATTATGATACTATCGTATCATTATTTTAGTTTATGACTTTTATTTTGAAAAATGAATATAAAATTGATAGTAAAATTAATTTATTGTCTGTAGTTGTTGCTTCAAATATCTTGGTATTAAATATTTTAATTAATGTAATATATTTTTAAAAAAATAATAAAAAAATTTTTAATTATTAATATATAATCTTCAATTGTTTAAAAATAAAATGTTATTAATATTGCTATTTTAGAAGATTTATCGCTATAAAGCATTTCTAATTTAGTTTTTGAAAAAGATAAAAGATATAATATTGCTGGAATAATTTATAATTTATGTAGAAATAAATTTCTTTGAAATATAAACCATGATGTACTAAATTGATATAAGAAATATTTGTCTAACGGTCTATTAATTTTGTAACTGTTAATTTTCTCTGTACCAATTAAAGTATGTCGTCCATTATGAACAATGGTTATCGCTATTGAAGGAATTTCGACTTATAAATCTCATTACAATATGCTAAATATCTTAATAATATTATATACCAAATACTGTATTCTACATATCATTGTTTCTAAATATCATTTTCTTCTATTTGATACACAAAGTTTAGTTTTATTTAGTTTTATTTGCAATCAGATTATGTTTATATATTTTTAATTTACATTGACGAATTAATTAAAACAGTATATTAATTTAAATAATATGCTGGTGGAGTCATTTATGGATTCTTGACATTCTTCTACTTCGATATTTTCCAACGATATACGAATAACATAATAACAGATAAATAACAGATTAAAATAGCCAAAGCTAAATTCAATACAGTAATGTATACCGCTAATGTATACTAATTTTTCATTTCTCGTATTTCGCATTGTATATACATTGCGTACGGACCGTTATTCTCTGAAACAAAGCATCGGTATGTGTCGCTATGAGCATTACATGGTAATGTATTATTTCTCTTGTAGCATACATGATACGAAACGAATATCGCAAACATTTGCGCGATTTCACAAAACGCATAAATACACGCGTACGCACATACATATATATATATATATATATATGTGAAATAGATATATGTAAAATTTTTCTAGAATTATCTTTAATAAATAAACTACTTTTAATTTATTCAACATTTCTTTGTATTTTGCACATTATAAATTATAGAGACAAATTTTTGATAAACACTCTTGTACATTTATTTACGAAAAGTTTTCAAGTTCATCAAATTTCATGAAAATTAATTTCGAAAATAAAAATCATTCTGAGTTTTATATATAGTCAGTTTTATTTTTATTACCTTTTCTTTGAATATCATTTCAATTTGAAAATTTCCCAATTTTATTTTCTGAAAATAAGAGACAGATAGTTATATTAAAAAAAACAAAACGTGCAAAATTAAGGAAGGAAGACATTGATCAGAAAGTCGCTGCCTGCAGCAAACGGAATGTATCATTCTGCTATCAATAATTAGAGGAGATATTTTGTGTAATTAATGTGTAATAATTTTGTCGTGGAGATAAACAAGAAAATACTTATTACTTTCTATTATATATTACAATTATCTTTTTTTGAATTAATTTATTGTACATCTAATTCATTTTCATTGAAAATTCAATAATAAAGCCGAGAGAGAGAGAGAGAGAGAGAGAGAGAGAGAGAGAGAGAGAGAGAGAGATTCCAGTTATATTATATCATTTATAATACGATGATGATTTTTGCTGTAATTTTTCACAGATAATCACTTTCTATGATATTTGCGAAATAAGAATCTATAGTTTCTTCCGACACGTTCAATGATTAACGAAGCGTAGCGTTCATATCGCTTAGTCCGATGAAAAATATACAGCTACTCAAAATTAGATCAGGTGAAACTGCCACTCTATTCAATACATCAATGACAGTAAGCGACATTGTACACAGTATTATATTTTCTATATGTGGTTATATCTCGTGTTTCGCTTCTTTATAAAATAAATTGCCCTTTTTATATAGGTAACCTTCAATTTCAAGGAAGGAGAGAGTTTCAGAGAGTTAGTATTGATAGACATGGCTGGGGGGGGGGGGGGTTTC